GAGCAATCACAAATGTCTTTTTCAAAATGAAGGAAGGCAGGCCAGAGTTCAGCTCATCCAAAATCTAAGATTTCCAGCCTTCATCTCTAATAAATCAAAGGATGAATGTGACTGTTTCTCATGGCTTTCCTGTGATTCACTGCAGGTGCTGGAGTTGAAAAAACAAGACCAGAACAAAACAAAAAAACCACCCCACAAACAGACAATGACAATATTTAAGCACCAGTCCCAGAAAGATTTGGCATTATTACTTTTGTCAGTCTCTGCTGCAGACTCAGGTCCAATGCAGGCAGTACTGCACTGACTGGCAATTAGCCAGTGTGAACTGACAAGACTATTAAAACACAACAGCATCCATGTGTACTAGCACCGTGGTACCATGGAATATGACTTAACAAGGTAAGTCCACTGCTCAAGCTTTGGGTAAAATGTGCTTTGCATTATAGATTAAATTTATCAGAGTCACTCTGAGAGCAATTACCATTTAAAAAAGGAAGAGGTAAGCTTGCTTTAAGAACCCTTAAGGTCTGCAAGGTTATCTAAGGCATACCTTTATTTTAAAATAAATATATGTAAAATATATTTTGCCTACAAAAAATGTAGATTGATCTAACCAAACCTCAATACATACTATACACTCCACAAATCATGAATCATCATTTAATACCATGAGCAGTTTACTAATTCAGGTACAGCTATCTGAAGACCTTATAATGCTAGAACTGCCAATCTCCCAGATCAATACAGGAAGCTCTTTCACATTTAGTAAGAAAGAATAAATAAATAAGTAAATAAATAAAGGGGGGGGTGGGGGGTGAGGAGGGAAATCAGGTCTGTAGTTAGAGCTATGCAGTGTTTTGTGTTTTAAGAATTAGTTTCTACTCCTTTCTCCTTTCCTGAAATAGGCTGCTTGACATTTAATAATAGACCTATTCTTCACTTTAAAATGCATTTCCATGACTCAGAAATTAAAGTGGAAAAGACTTATTAATTCATCTAACCAAACTTCTTTGTAATAAAAGCCTACCCTTTACTTTGCATTGCTTTGTTCAGACTAGAGTCAGGCAATTACAAGCACCAGTTTCTCCCAGAATCGATACCTCCACGCACCACATCCCCAAAATCCAGATGAGAAATAGTTTTTGTGTTCAGAGCAACCTCTCTGGAAGCCAGTTTAGCTTGCAAGCTGTGTCAAATTTCTGAAGAATTTATCTGGATTTGCAGTTTGCTCTGTCCTCTAAAGTCCATGCCTTCAGATGCCAACCTTGTACTAAACCAGGCTGTTTCTGCCAATGTGTCAGCACAAAGCACCAAAAACATAAAGCCAACTAAAAGAAAACCAATCAAAAAAAAATACTACATACACACAAAAAACACCTGAACCCTTAAAAGAACATGGGCATAAATTCAATACCCAAATACCAGAACACAATCCCAGGTGCTATAACATACTGCAAACAAAAAAAAAAATGCAGTCCTCTTCTCATTCCTTTTTCCACATTCTTCTCCCAAAGTAGCAGACATAAATCAAAGGACTTTGGTCCCCAATCTCACAGGTTTCTTCTCGCCCTGACAGTCAGCCCTGGCATCTCCCCTCTCTCACCTCCAATGACCACCTCACTAGGTGGCAGGCAGGTATTCCCCCTGCAAACTGTTGCAGGACCTCATCACAGCTAATTAGCAGACTAACCTGACTATATTTACTCTGTTTTCAGATGGCGCGTGTTCTCCCACATAACATTGAAATTAACAAGTAGCAAGAACAAAATGCTGATGCAAGCCAGGCAGTGACACAGGGGAAAAGCTACAGGGCAAATATCCAAGGAAGGACACAGCCCAGACAGCTGTAGCCACATACCAGTGATTTCCTTATGAACCTTTATCAAACATGTGGCTTGCAGCACTCACCAGCACAGGTGCCAAACATACCACAGAGACACAGAACCAGCTGCCCAGCCACCCTGACTGTGCTGACACACTCATTATCAACATTGCACTGACATCAAAAAATAAACCGAACACTCAGACTGTCCATGTGATGAGTGGGATTGGTGCAAAGGTATTTGTGTGTGAAGGTAACACTACAAACCCAAAACTTTAAACAGCTGGAATAAGAGAACCAATAAAGAAAGAACCACTGCCTCTATAAGACAGTCTCCTACACAAATCCTGTTTGTAAGAGCGACTCCTTACTACTCTGCATTGCCAAGAAGGGCAGTAATCTCCTGAACGTACACCTGCTCACCACCGTGCAGTCCTAATGCAGCACTCAGCAGCAGCCATCGACTCAAATCTGAAGATCAGGAAATAGTGACTGTAAGGCATTCTTGCTCATTTGAGCTAGGAGGACATACCCACCCAGGACCACCTCCAGCTGCATCGACTGAAAACATATATTTCACCAACTTTGTGATGAGAAAAAACCCGTTGATACTTTTTTCTACATACCAAGGCCAAAGGAACTTACTTGTAATGCTGGGAAATCAAAACTCCCTCACTTCTTCCAATCCAACAGAACAACAGTCTTGAACAAAGTAGTTTGTGAATACTAAAACGACCATTTTTGACAATCAGTAAGTCATATCATACCTATTCTAAGTTAAAACTGATCACAAAAGTAGTAGAATATACACTGTCTAATCTTTTTTTTTTCCCCACTCATATTGTTGTTTGTGAGGAAATCAGGCTCATTAGAAAGTTCACAGCTCTCACTATATTAAAGAAAAAACAAACCAGATTCTCCTATGTTCATAAAAGCGACGTACAGCCAAATGGTACTGAATTCTCCCATATTTTCAGAAGCAGTAGTCTCTTGAATTCACCTGCTCATGTGAATTAGAATTCTGCTAGAATTCTGTCTTACATAGGAAAAAAAAAATATTACAAGGTTTCCTAGTTTCTTATTTCCAAGTGATTCTGCTTTACTTCTTCAGCCTTAATTTTTCTGCCCTCCAACAATAGGGTTTGGTGGTTCTCTACTGTTTTTTGCCTCAACCCAAAACAACTGCACTTAACATTAGAAGGAAAGTAACTCAAACTGATTCTGCACATGTCCAAATATAAACTGGTCATAAGCTTCTGCTATAGCTGATAAAGAACATTTTTACAACTTACTATCTGCAAGGAATAGTGGTTTTGAGGGTAGAGATGGTGGGAAAGGATACACCACCTCTCTTCTTCATGATGGTTCAGGAAGAATCATAGTTTGTTCTAGGGCAGGTGGGAGGCAGGTGTTAACAGACATAAACCCCAGAATCACATAGGCTTACATCCTCCCCCCAGTCCTCATTTGTGCTTGAAAGGCACTATTTCCACTTCCATTTTCTTAAAGCTCATCCGCAGTCAAACAGGAGACGCCGAGTCTACCTTTCCACCCTATTCTACCAGCATCAGCATCTCCCGAGAGCACATCTTCAGGAACTTGCAAACACTAATCATTCGTGCATGAGCACAAGGGGAGAAAGATACAGCACACACTTTGTTTCTTAGAATAGCTATTTGGTGGAGAAATCACTTCTAAACCTCAAAAAACTAACCCCAGGGGAATCCAAATTTATGCCGTATTACACACTCTCAGTTTATTGCCTTCCAAAACCACTTTTTATATTAAAAAAAAAAATATCCTAAAGCATTTGTAGTAACAGGCCTAGTTAAAGAAAAAAATACCAGAAGATAAAGTATCATTTTTCAAGTCCCAGCAATTTTTTTAACTCTCATTAGCCTTAGCACTTTTGTATGGTTTTACCAATGAATGTAGAACACCAGGATCACCAGTAATCAGACAATGCTATCAACCAAGGCCACAACAGAGGAAAATTAAGAGAATACCTGAAAAACAATATAAACCTTAAGACCTCATCTCTTTCCTCAAAGTCAGTAGCCATCAACCAGTTAAAATAATCTTTACCTCTTGCTTCCCTCTACGTAATTCTAAGCATGTCTTAATCTTTCATTAATCTTTTCTATTTCCAGTCACCCAGGAGCAGCCAAACAAATATTCAACCCGTTCTCATTTTGCAACAAAAAAGAAATAATGGCAGCTCCAGCAGCTGGGTTTTGCCTTTCTTTACTATTTCAGACTGATAAAGTTTATTTTACGGTTTTTGAGAAGAAATGTTATTTTCTGCAAGCTTGGAAGAAGTTTTTACCCAATTCCTTGTGAAAACAGTTGGCATCCTAACTTCACAATGTTCTGAACAAAACCCCTAGCTTCAAATCAGCTGTGCCAAATGTCATTTATACCGGCATTTGACCCTTTACATTCAAGCTAAACAAACAGAAGCAGCTGGGAAAAAGCTAACAGCGGTCTGCGCTGCTGGCTCGGAGCACCCGGCGCTGCTGCGAGCAGAGACGCTGCCTTGGGAAAAACAGGAGCGAGTCAGGCTAACGGCGTCCAGAGAGCCGTGAGACCTACGGCTAACATGCACAGCCCAAAGCACCGTTCCATCTCTACCTTCAATACACTCTACCGACCTTAAACATACACTAGCTATTGTTTTCCAGTGACATTTACATCTTTTCTCTCAACCTCAAAAAGCACAATGTCAGTTCGTTAGCGTTAGAGAGAAAACTGCGTGCCAGGACTCGGATTTAATCGCAGGTTGTCATACATCGCTGCCCAGAGCCGGTGCCTCAGGTCAGACTTACCCCTGCTTAAAAAGCTCTCCACCACCTTAACCCGTACCTGGAACCTGCAGGAAAGGCAGCGGGAATAAAGCAAGGACAGCTTTCTCCGCGAACAGCCTCGCCCAGTGAACGGCTCCCCCGGTACCAGTGCTGTACTCCGGCCCCCGGCTGCACCCCCCGGCCCCGGCGAAAGCGGCTCGCCTGCGGACACGGACTCACCACCACGCACTGAAAGTTGACAAAGGAGCCAGGGTTCAAGTTGGGGGGGTTAGGGGGTGAGGGCTGCTCCTGGCAGGCTCCGCACTGAGATCGGCAGCGCTGGGACTCGTCCCACCCGGGGATCCTCCGGTCGCACTCCCCTTACCTGCGGCGCGATGCTGAGCCCCGCAGCGGCGCCCCTGGCCCCGCGCTCAGCAGCGCCGCCGCCCGCCCAGGGCAGAGCCCGGGGCCACCACCCTCCTCCTCCTCATGGCCGCCCAGGCGAGGTGCGGTGCGGCGGGACAGCGGCCCCCGGGAGCGGCGGGGGCTGCGCTGGGTTCGGCTCCGCACCGCCGCCTCGCCGGGTCGGTGGCCGCGCGTCAGCCGCCGCCTCTCCTCCTCCGGCGCACCGCCCAATGGCTGCGGCGGCGCGGGCAGCGCCCGGCTCCCGCGATACTTGGGGCCCGGGCCGGCGGAGCGACGCGGTGGGTGTTCTCCCAGCGGGCGCGGAGCCTCCTTAGCTCGGTGGGGAGAGTTAGGCAGGTGCGGGAGGCTCCCTGGCTCACAAATAGCGGCTACCGGGAGGGGGCGGGAGGCGGAGAGGGGCGCTGGAGCACATGTATCTCTCCATTCTCCAGGTAAATTTCAGAGGAAGCTTCTGCCGCCTCCCCCAGGGAGTCTGTACATCCTCGCATGGGAGTGCTTGCTTGCACGTACGGCTGGGGTGGCTTTTCAGATCATCACGCGCAGATCTTGCAGGCCCCATCTCTCATCTCAAAAGTGGCAGTACGTCTTCAGCGTTGGCTGAAATGCTGTTACTTTTGTAAGGGGAAATCTCACTTACTGGAAGGGGAAAGCAAAAGATAAAATCTCTCCATCCGATTTACATGAGTAGCCAGGCAAAGATTACGTTGACATTAACTTTTTTCGCAGTTCTGTGTTTTGATCCAGGAGCCGATCTTGGAACACTCCTTTCCCCTCCTGCTGGCTGTGTGTGACCAGACGTGACTTGCAACATTTTACTATCAGTTAAATAATATCGTTTTGACACTGAAAACTTAACTGTGTAAACTAACTGCCTTGATAGAAGGATGAGAAACCTCTTGGCACTTTTTGTTTCTTGTTCCCCTTACAAAATAATAAAAGCATTTTTCAGTATGCTCTAAAATTAACATTTAAATGAATGATTTGATGGCCTTTGTTTCTCTTCTCAAAACCTACCAAAAGATTGCTCAGAATTTTGAAACATCTCTTTGGGGAGCCGAGTCAGTTCAGCATGTATGATACATACGCTGTAAAGTGTTGAATGATTTCTTAAGGTATACTCGAGATAAGCACTCAGTGCTGGAGTGCCAGACTGGAAATCCCTATTATGTGCCTCTGAGGATAATCATGTCAATTTCTCTGCATTGCAGCTTTCATACCTCTAACCTCACTTGGGCATTGTAAGCATTAATTGCTTCCTGTAAAGTGTGTTAGGACACAGACATGGATGTTGCCTGTATATGTTCAAAGTATTCTTTCTCTGTTCATTTTTCATACTAGCAGGAGGGTGTTTGCTTGAAGTAGGAAAACATGAATTATCATGGTAGAAGAAAATAACAATCCACAGACTTTGGCACCCTTAAAGCAATCCTCCCCCTCAAAAACAATAAATACAAAAGAAATACCGAAGTTCCATGACTGTATTATTCATTCAGTCCTGACACCGTGTTGGATTCTGGGCGATGCCACCTGTTTGAAAGAGCATTGTAAAAATAGTCCAGAGAGGTTTTGTCACATGGAAGGACATTTTTCACCACCTGACTACTCATATGCACTGTCATAAAGCAGAAACATTCACTTGTTACTCCAATTTTCTTTTTAGTTCATACAATAGACAACTGCTATCTTTATTCATGAAGATAACCAACCTCCAAATGTTACTAGGATACTTCCTTTCAACAGTACAACTGCACAGGTCTTTCAACAAGCGTATAAAAGATGTTTTCTGTGTCAAAAAGATTTTATGCTTCATTTTCCCCTAGTTGTTTAGGGCTCAATTCTTCTGTAATAGCAGTTATTTCCTCTCTGCGTACCAAGATTTCTGTCTTTGTCATTGTCTTTGTCCCGGAGTTAAAGATGTTGATCCAGATGATTTCAGTGCAATTGGGGCAAATTAAGCAACTCTGCTTCACTCATGTCAGTGGTTCTGCAGTAACCTATCTAGTTTGTCTGCTATTATTCTCTGGTTTTCTTATCCTTTAATATATCATGGCCAAATGATACATAAAGCCAAGGAAACACTTATTTCTCCAAACTTACCTTATGCTCCAAACTTACCTAAATGCTTACTTACAAAGCATTAGCGTCCTTTTTAGAATAATGTAATCCTGACAATTGAAGGATGAAATACAAAGCCATAGAGATACAAGAATGAATAAAACATGCAAGGGTAGATATACAAACTGTAAATGTGTGACTTGTGTAACGCTGTGGTGTTTGCACCAAAGCATCTGTTTTGTAACTTGCTGTAGGTGGGCTGTATGCTGGTAACCATGACAAAAGGAATCCCATTTTTCAGGAAAAAAGCCCCAACATAATGCTACATAAAACCAACATAATAGTAAAGGGCACATAGGAGAAAAATGGACATACTTGGTTGAGTCAAAGGCAGTGATCTGGAGTGGGTGCTTGGAAAACAGTGTAAGAAATAGCAAAAATATAAAATCATTCTTCTCTCAGCAATCTGTGTTTTCAGCAATTAGCAGCGTGGAACTCCCGGTGTGGAGGCTGAATTCAGACCATTGCATTTAACATCTATTTATAGATTGTTTATGAATTTCTCGTAGTTACATCTATTTTAATCTGTTTTGACTTTTGGTTTCAACAACAGCTTGAGCCGTAGAGTTCCAAGATTAATTATACATTTTGTATAAAAATACCTCAACTTCACCACATGAGTGGTATACTGGTTCCTTGATATTCACACTGGGTGGTCTTCCACTCCTGTGTTCTGAGAAATGGTGAACAATCATTTTTAATATACTTCTTTATGATGTCTGGGAATTCATAGGCCCCAGACCTTCTTTTCCCTTAGCCTTTACAGGTAGAAGGAAAATCGCTGTAGTTTTCCTATGCAAAAGCCATTCTACATCTTCACTTGTCCTCATCTTTCCCTCTTTTTTTTTTCATTTTGTGCTTTGTTTCTTTTTTTCCTATTAGAACTTCCCTTTTTCCCTCCCAGAGAAAATAGGAATATAGACTATCCCTTTGCTTTCCCACCATCAGTAAGTATCACAGTCAGTGATACTTACTGGTTATCAGTAGGTCAATACTACTGGTTATCAGTAGGTCGATGTTGTGACCTGCATAAGCTCATGCTTGCTAAGCTTTTACAGGCAGGAGCTGAAGACTGCTTAAATAGAACCAGCGCTTTTTCCTGGCAAGTACATTCAGATATTGTGTTGCATTATTTAAAATGTATATCATGTGGTGCCAAAAAAGTATTCCTAGGTTTACTGGAATACCTACCATGACCTTCCCACCAATCTGTCATGCCAGAAGGTAACCTTTATCCTTCTGGCAGGTGAGGTTGGAGAAAAAAATAATGTATATGTATTTCCTATAACAGATCCTTTGACTTGTGTATTATCATATGCAGAAAGGAAAACAAAGCTGAAGGAAGAAGCCGATTTGTTTTCATCTGAATTTTACATCAATAATTACACAAAACATAGAACTCTTTCCTACCACCTAATAGAAATAAAATGGGCTGATAGATAACAGACTGACAGTTATTGCATGTCTAGTGCCTTTCAGTGTAATTCATTTATTCTTTCTTAAGTAATAACAGCCTATACTGTGCTACTTACTCAATTTTATTGCTTTGGCTATATTACCCTTTCAAATGCAGAACCACAGGTAAACCAAATGTAACTATTCATCAAACCCATGAAATATCATTTATAACATTAAAGCACTCACAGCTAATGCATCAGTTAATCCCATTCATCCTCTGATGGAGCCTTCCTGTAGGACAACACAACCTGGGTTTACCATTTGAAAAGAAATTGGATAACCTTTGAGATAAATTTTCCTGCCCTGTATGAGAAGGTTGGAATACCCTTGCATTTAAATACTTCACACCCTGTACTCCCTTTATGTCTTTAACACAAATATTAGAGCTTTGTTAAAGTAGGGTATGACACGTAGTCCACTCATCTGATATAGCAGGTGTGTGTAAAGATAAATTACATACATTTGGCAGTAGTTCAGTTACTCCAGACTTTAGTTTCTTCAGGACTCTTAGATAAATGTCATCAGGGCTTTGTGATTTAATTTCCTTTCTTCTTGCGCATCTTAGTAACTACCTGTGTCTTGCCTCCCTTATTTATGAAGGGTATAAACCTCAGGCTGCGTCTTTCTAGTCCTGTCTTTCTAGAATAATTTACCTCTGCATCTTTTGTTCATTAAAGAATAGAATATATTTACCTGGTAATGGAAGCAAAGTAAAGGCATTAGCATTAATACTGCCCCATTTAGATACATCGGTTTTCTTCAGATTTAAAAAGATGAGTGAATGCCGTAAAGATGGAAAAGAGACATAGAACTGAGTCTAAAACTTCGTGCTGAATTTAAGCCTCTTTCTACAGCTATGGACCCAGAAAGAATCTCACATTTCTGTAAATTCTGTTTCTGGGCCACTGAGAAGTCAGTGTTGGAATGCCCCAGGGTCAATAGTTACTTGGGGAACCAACCTGTGCTGGAGAAGGTGAAGAGTGTTTCTTCTCATGGTTTCTCTGAACGCAATAGCCTGCTATTCGGCTAGGTGCCTACTGGAACCAGCACTCTGATCTCTGCTCAGTACCAGGTAGTGACAGTAAAAAAAATATTCCAGAATTCTTGAGGGAGAGGATGATCAAAAGAATGCAGCTGCTTTTGGATATAAAGCACTTGCTATGTAAGAAAATATTTGGGAAAATCCTTTTTTGGTCTGAATTCAAAACACCATTATCCAGATGCATCTATATTGGGCATTGCCAGAGAATTAATTTTGTCATCAACCTATTTCTTCATGTTTGATAAAATTTCATTTCAGAAATGAAGGATTTATAGCTTACTTTTCCTCAGTGCACATTATCATTTATATAACTGACAGCTTCAGTTGTTAAAAGCAGTACATGAGTTTTTTTCCAATAAAGGGCTCACATCTTTCTGACATTTATTGCAAGTTTATTACTTCTATACCCTTCTCAGTGAAGCTGTTTCGTTCATTGTGGGAGTGTCGGAAGTACAGATTTTTCATTACCTGTGACTTATCATTAATTTTAGGCCAGAAGTGGTTTCATTTTGACTGGTGGTTAAAAACAGGAATGGCATAAAAACACGTGAAGGCAATTAAGTTAAGAAAACTCATTTGTGAAGAACAGGGAAAGTTAAGGTACAGATTTTTTTCCCAGGTGCTATGTGTGCCTTCTCCAGGTGGAGAGAAGGCGTGTTAATCACTCTTTTGACTTATTTTAGAATAAAAATCACTGCCTAGAAGATTGAGTGAACTGGTTATACAATACAAGAATTTTTTAATTCTGTATCCCCATCATGGTTATTAAGACAGCAGAGTCCTTACCTGAGTGATTAATTGAGAAGCATCCTTTGTCCAAAGTAGATAGTAAATCAAATTCTAAAGACATTTCTGTCTTTAGCACACACATGCTAAAATTGGACCATGTATTTACCTGTGGAGGAAGAAGTCAGTCCATGCCAGTTAGTCTCAGTGCCAGAGGATGGTCCTTGGCAAGTTTAATGTCCTAATACAAATGAAGACTTAACAAGACTTCCTCCAGGTCCTAAATTCATGGAAAGATCTGCAGAAATCAGTGTACATTCCTGCTTTGGCTGGGGGACCATAGTTGCAAGACTACCCCTTAGATCAAGGAGCTGAGGCAGTTTAATATTTTTTCCCCTCATGCAGGACAGGATCTGGTCCACTGTCTAGAAATGTGTCAAATTTCCATATTTGTAATACTTGCTTCTGTTTCTTGATAATGTTTTAGGTGTCAGATAAAGAATAACATCTGCCATCTTGCCAAACCTCAATAAAATTTTGATCACATCTGCTCTAATCATTTCTTCTAGCTTGTTTACAGTAAAACTTACATGATAAATGAAGATATCATTACAGTAAAACTCTATTTTCTTTGTCAAGATAATTAATCTTTTCAAACAATCTCTTTTTTTTTAAATTAAAACTTGTGTTACTACTATTATCCTACCAATTGTTCGGTGTTTTTTCCTCAGTCTGGGCTTCCAATCTTCATCTGCATGAAGGGCAAATTGCACTCCAAAATCTTATATAGAAACAATGCTTTATGAATACTGGAAGTCATATAGCTTTCTTACTAGGAATAAAAAGTGTCTTGAATTCACACCATAAAACTGCCTTTGGGATTTCAGCACATGTTCTCTTGGAAACCTCAGAGGCATTGATCAGAGAGATTACTGTCTTTTTGGTTTCAACTCAGAGGAAAAATAATGTTTTGCAAACTCAATTAGAGTTCTTGAAAATAAAGTAAAACCGTTAGAAATGCCAGTCTTGAGTAGAAATCATGAAATGATAACAGGAATTTGATCTAGCTCTGTGCAAGTCATGCTTGAAACAACTTGTAAGCCACAGGAGAAATAATTCACACTGGGAGAAGGGAGGCTGGCAAACCCAAGCACACCCAAGTTCCGGCTCCTACAGCTCTGTATTGTAGGAGGTGGTGTGTTCCCAGGCTGAGGAGGTGGTAAGTTAGTTCTCCACTGCAGCCAGAGGGGCACAGAGGTCTCAACACCCTGCTTTCACATGCTGCTGCTGCATGCAGGAGTGTCATGCTGCATGATGGATTTGCTCAGCATAGGGGTGGCATGGTGTGCTGCATCCCCCCCATGTTCCCAGGCATGCCTACAGTGGACAGTAGTTTCACACCATTTTCAGTGAGCAGGCCTGGGTTCACGTCCCTGCCCTGAAGGCTGTTGAAAGGGAGAAAATGAAACATTGACTGGTGGCAGACCTAAGACCCAACTATTCGCAGCATCACCCCAGGTTTGGCCCAATTAATACTTAATGATTCCTCACAAAATGCTGTGGCTTTAATAGAGTCCTTCCTGCCTCATTAACCAACAGTTGCCCAAGCTCTCACAGGAAATGGGAGCTGTGGGTTGAAGTTCTCTTAGCAGAGAAAGAAATTAAATCCAAGTCCTGACATCCTGTATGGGCACCACAGCCACAGAGCTGAGACTATGCCAGTGACACCACCTCTCCCTGCCAAGGGCACACCACCAGACACTTAATGAAACTTGCAGCAAATTCTCCACTGTATCAGGTATAAGCATGTTAGTATGTGCTAACCATTGTATTCTTAATCTCATAATTTCTAATTTCATGAGACAAATATTCATGGAGTGTGATTTGAGAGAACTACAGCAATATTTTAATCAGAATTATTCACCTGAAGTAGCTGTTAGATATTTATGGCATTAATTCAGGCTTAATGGCTTTCTGCCTAGAGGAATCTTTCATTTTAATAACACATAGATCACATCCAAGGGTGACCTCTTTCATATTTGGAAAACAGATACTCTGATGCAGTGTTTTCTGGGGGTTAGTTTTGCTTCTGTCAGGAGCTGCTGCTTCATTTTAAATGAGCTATCACATTTTCACATATGTAATAGTGGCCAACAATCTTTTTGGCTCAAAAGTAAACCACAAAGGTTCTTACTTAGAAATAAATGAACAGTCATTACCCATTGTGGTGTAAACTCGGTGTCTCACAACACATTTGCATTTAGTCCTTTTAACTGCAGAAGGGTTTGGCCTTGGTACTTACAACAATTACAGAAGTATTACTTGTGAAGAAATAAAGTGTGCTATAAAAGGAGAAGCTAGATTTCCCTTTGTAAGTACTCTTTCCAAATGTTTTCCTGAGGCATCACCCAAATGTCATTTATATTACTTGCAGAATTTCCCTTCTTAAAAATGCATTCATTTGGTTTAATTTTGCAAGGCTTTGTATGAATCCATCTGAAACCATGGAGTGCATTGAAATCTTGATGGGGTGGGAGAATGCCACCCACACCTTAGACAAGCAGCTGATGTGCTGTAGTCAGCCTCCATGTAACATTCAAACCTGGAAGTGGCTTAATTGCCTCCTTTGGTGCTGCTGTCAAAATTCCGTTTGTGACAGAATGTACTAGGTTGCTCTCAACACTTAACTTCTTCCTACCTTAGCTAAGGTTTATAACTCCACCAAATGAAAGAGCGTAGCTTTCTCCCACATCTCTGCATACACTGTAAAGCGCAATGTCTTCGTTCACAGGTTCACTCATACTGAAGCAGCACATAGCTAAGAATGAGTTAAATTTCAAGTATAGCAATGTACTGTGGGTTAAAATAAATCCTGAGTCTGCATAATTCAAGCATTTAAAATGCTGAGTTCTGTGACAGTGCTAATTCGCAAACAGCTGCCCAATTCTAAGATTATTTCTTTCAGACTTTCTAACAGAATTATGAGTGCTCTAGTGCTGAAAGAGAAAACCTTTCTAATTAAGTTCACACACAACAGGGTGTGTTGTTTACAGCAAGTAATTGGTTCATTTCAGAATTTTTCCTCCTATTCATTAATTCATTAGCCAGAGAACAGTTTCAACATATTGACATCATCTGATACTGTTCTTTTTTATGTGAGCATAAAGCAGCATATGAATTGTTTACAGACTTTGGCTTATTAGGACAGCTTGAGAGAATTTGAAGCCACAAACTGAATAGCTGCAGTATCCCTAGACGTGTAGCTTGCATTCTACTAACTACTCCTGATGGAGTTAAAAAAATGCAAAAAACAGCCAGCAGGATAGGAGCCAGGCTGTACCCAGCACCAGGAAAAGCTGCTGTAATTCTAGGGAGTGCATTTAGGTAGAAGGTGAATGTACTGTCATGGAGTCAATCCAAACTTTATGCATCTGTTGGGTTTTGTGGCAAAAGAGGGCTTTGAGGTGTTCTTCCTTACCTCTGGTATCAGCGCCATCAATATTTTCCTTCCTGCAGTCACTAGACTCCCACTACAGTCAATTAATGCTGGCCGTGACTGTTTTCTTGATCAGTTCTGATTTGAAAGAACACTGCTTGCATCTGAACTCAAAATATGATTTCCTATTGCAAACTGTAACATTACTCATTCATTTTTAATGCTTTTTGTCAATTTGTCTTTCTGGGGGGAGACAGCATATACATTTCTACATGCAGAAGCAAAATAACACAATCTGATCTCATCACCCAACGCTTACCAAAATGAAAATGCTAGCAGAGGAAGTTCTCTCAAATGCCTCTGAATATGTAAAAGATAATTTAATATTTAATTTCCCATCATCTTTGCAAGCCTTTTGCATCACATGTATCCTATTGTCAGATTCCTTCTCCTCTCTGCAGATGTTCTGTCAGTTACAAGAACATTGCATGTTATGACAGAAATTTATGAAGACTTCTTCCACAATATCATTCCTTATTTGATTTTTGAGATTAGCATTTCACACCATGTCCTTCTAACTGCACTCTTTTGCCAGGCCTTGAAGGCTATAGACATTTTCTCTTTTTTTCTCAATACTCTTTTTTTCTTAAAAAAAGGAAAATATTATTTGTGATACCTCTGATTTTCTTATTTCATATCTCTGAAAAAGAATTATCACTTGAGAAATGTGTTTATTTGACAGAAAATTATCCCAAGTCCTCTTTGAATTTCATTGTGGTGTTTTCTTTCGCTGCCCGGCTTCTGAAGATTTTGGTTTTGCTCGGATGCTGAAGTAGATAATTCATTAAAATACACCACCTTAGTTGTACCAAACATCTAAGTTTCTCTCTTTGTCTTCTTTCGTTTTTCAGGTGTATTCTTCCTTATGTCTGCATAGTTTGACAACAGCATCTACATTTTATTTCTGCTACCCTTTTTTTATTCTATGGCTGCATGATTTTCACACAAACACTTAAAATCATCTGTTAAGTGACAGGTGGCTTAGTGACCATAGTGACCCGAGTAAGCTTTTAACACACTGACGGTGGTAGGATTTTTAACTGCTACACTCAGGAGGTTTGTAATGCTATTCCTTCTTTCTTGTTTCAGGTTTTAGGCATATCACAGGAACCAGGTCAAGAAATGAACAAGGCTGAATTTGTGAGGCTGTGGCATTAAAACCCTCCACTTCCCTAGGCCTTTAAGGAAGTTTGCTGAAATTTCAGCTGTCAGGAGGTAGGGAATTAAGATTATAGATTTTCTCTTGGGTTAGAAGTACAGAGTAAGGTTCTAGCATTATATTCCCATTCTCACACAGGAATGACACTGAGTGTGGTACCAGTGCTCTATATTATTTATATCGTTAAATTCACACATTCTGTAAAAGCTGTTTGATGCTTCATATTGCTCTAGAATAGCATATGTAGGCTATTGATCTTCTATCAATGAAACTGTCATCAGGAGCTCATTGTAGCTGGTGGCTCCAAACCACCTAGAGCTAGCATAGAACTGCAAAGTGCAGTTGCAACACAGCTTCAATTCTTATTTTCAGTCACCGACATAAGATGATGGCAAACCCGCTCACCTGTGTATAAAGAAAGGAGATCACAAACAAAGCAGACTGATGTCGTCCTTATTTTTCAAGGAAGAGTAGGCAACATATTATTCAATAAAGTAATTCTATACACTGAGTCCAGCAGAATCTACTTTACTGAAGAACTCCTGTAGATCTCTTCAGCATGGTATCCTGAGCAAAATCTATTGAAGCTGGTGGGTTTTGACTGTTCGAATTGAGTCTGGTGGAAGTTATTCATGAAATAAAAGCCTAACAATTAAAGACAAACCAGTGGATATCTGGTAGAAATGTTTCATTTACTTTAAGGTGAAGACATAAGTAGATAGATTCTACTGAGTTAATATCACCAGGGTATGATTTTGAAGAAAAAGAATAAAACGGTGCTTCACCATAGAATCATACAACCCCTGAATGGCTTGGGTTGGAACTATCACCTAGTTCCAACCCCCCTGCCACAGGCAGGGACACCTTCCACTAGACCAGGTTGCTCAAAGCCCCACCCAACCTGGCCTTGAACGCTTCCAGGGATGGGGCAGCTACAGCTCCTCTGGGCAACCTGTGCCAGGGCCTCACCACCCCCCAGGGAAGAACTTCTTTCTAACATTTAATCTAAACCTCCCCTGTGTCAGTTCAAAGCCATTCCCCCTTGTCCTATCCCTACAAGCCCTTGTAAAAAGCCCCTCTGCAGCTTTTATGTTGCCCCCTTTAGGCACTGGAAGCTACTCTAAGGTCTCTTCAGAGCCTTTTTTTCTCCAGGCTGGACAAGCCCAGCTCTCTCAGCCTGCCTCCACAGGAGAGGTGCTCCAGCCCTCAGAGTATCTCTGTGGCCTCCTTTAGACCTGCTCCAATAGGTCCATGCCCTTATGTTGGGGGCCCTAGAGCTGAGCACATTACTGTAGGGGGTTATGCTATGTTATCCAAGGAAACCGTTTTAATCTGATGTCTCTGATCCTTTACCAGACAGGAGAAAGGAGAAATAGGAGAATTAAAAATGTGTCTTGAAATGCAAATCAGTAATCGTGACTGGTGCATTCTTTTTTTCACATTTTATAGATGTTTTCATTTAAAAAATAAACATCATTAAATTATGCAAACATTAACTGCAGTGTATGTCTATCAAATCACTCAATTTCTCCGTTTCCTGCTTTAACCACAGCTGTACTGTTAAATGTGTTCTGGACAGAGCTGAAGAAACCAGTCATTAACACAATACCTGTGGGTTCATAATGGTGTAGCTTATCCTGCCTAATAACTTTGTAAGGCTTCTATTATACAAGAATAATTCAGTCTGCACTAGCTCCATCCTTATTTCAGTATTCAAAGAAAGAAAAGAATAAATCAGCACACCACTTCCAACGCAAGTAAAGACATTGATAGACAGCCCATATGAAGTCTGTTCTTGTAAAATTACTAAAAGCACTTGTTTTATGGTTGTAGTAGGCTGCTTCTCCATTGTGCACCTCTGTGCACAAGTTCTTAGAGAATTGTTATCGTTTTAGCTTGTGGTACAGAGCTCTTTAGAGCTATTGATGCCAACTCAGGAATTTGTGTCACACTTTACAAGTATACCACCTTGCAGAAGCCTACGTTGTCCTGAAATCAATAGTTTAGGCTTCTAAGTCACTTAATGTTTTTGTTAAGTAACCCCAGTCCTAGCAATTGGCCATATGAACATGTTCATAAAAATTCTGGGAAAATCACACAGGAGAAAATAAGAATTTTTCTTGCTAAGATGAAACACAACAAGACAGACAATGTTGATCAACAAACAAGATGTTGAACATGCAGCTGCTGTTTGCTGTGCTACAGACAAAACATGCTCACCATCAGCAAAGCCTGGACAGCTGCACCACCAGAAGTTTCCCAGATGCAGAATAGCTAAGTGGTTAAAAACCCAAGTGTTTCAAAAAGCCTACTGTAGCACATTGTGCAGAGAACTCTTCTGTAGCTGTATGTACAGGTTCACAGAAGCTAATAATAGCATAATGAAGTTACTATCCTCTGGCTTGTTCCACAGCCACAGAGAAGGGTACTTAGTCCTCAGCAAGCAAATCAGGACAGCCTGCTCCAGAGCCCTCGCTGGAGGAGCCTCTCAGATGACTTACAGGGATCTTTGGCAGCTGTTCTGTGAGGGTGAGGCTAACTTTAACCTTTAGAATATCCATGAGGGGGAAATATCACAGGGGTCAAACAGGATAGGCATGATATTACTGTAGATGCAAAGCGAGAATAAATGAATAAATGCAAGGACCTCTTGCTGAAATAGCTCTGCTAGTTCCTTTTGATCTGGCAGTTAAACATTCAGTAAGTACCCTGAATTATCCACAATAAATTCTTTCATTTCTATGACTCTTTTCTATAATATGGTTCTGAGTTTTAATTTAAATTTTATTTTCATTCTGTTTTCTCATATGCACACCTACTGAAAAGTAAAACTTCTTTTCACTTTTCTTGAATCCGACTGAAGTCCTTAACTCCTTTTCATCTCCTGAACTACTCACTTGTGCAAAACAAAGACTCTAAAGACTGTTCTCAGTCATGTGAACAGATATGAGCACTCGTACGAAGCAGCTGGCAGGCAGCATACTGTATGTGTATTGGAATATGTAAGCTGGAATGTCATTGAGTTCCATTTATAAGTAATTATTTGTTCACCCAAATATCTGGAGCAATCTTTCCTTGAGATCATCACCCTCACAAAAGATTTTACTTAGTCATTTGTGAAAATTAATGTTAAAGGTAAATATTACAAATATCTTCAACAGTTTTTAAGAGGGTCTCCTCTTAGTTTCAGATTTCCACCCATAAATAAGATCATTGTCTTAATTGACAGAAAGAGTGTGCCAGTCACCAACAGTGTTGTAGGAAAAGACTTATTACAGACTTCATATACTAGTTCTAGCTATTTAATGTATAACTATTTTTGCAATGCTATACCAAGCTTGTAATGGATTTTCACATCTTAATGTCTATTTAATCAGGAGACAAAGAAGCAACTGATTCGTTAAAGAAGCTATGATGTCATTACTGAGTCTAATGTAATGTTTTAATAGTACAGCAATAAACTTTCCAGGTTTGTTTCTGAAATTTTTCCGAGTGTTTACTGTTTATACAAAAGACCTCAGTAAAAATGGTACTAGTAAAAAAAAAACAAAAACCAAAACCCCCAAAAACCACACACACCACAAAAAAACAAACCTCAAACCATCCGATTTACTTGCAGAGCTTAGAGATTATTATGTCATAGCACAAGAGATGTGGCAACTGATAGTTTTTAGTTTCAAAGCTGTGTAAGTAATAAACTTCAGTAGTTAAAACCTAGGATGTAACAGATAAGTAAGAGAATGCAAAGATCAGTCAAAGGTATAAAAACTTTCAGGAGCAGGCAAGTTGCAAGCAAGGTAAGGGATAGGCTTAGCTGCAAGGGTATAAAAAATAATTTTCTAGAATAAAGTATCTCAAAAAGCTTAAGTATGTATCTGTACAGTTTATTAATTATAGCAGAAACCTGAGAAATTTATTTAAATTTAACAGAGATAGACAATTGCAATCAGAGAAGTGGCAAAAGTGAAAAAAGCAGAGGTCAGATCAAACCAGCCAAATTGAAGTGCTACGTAACTTCATGGCCAAGTAATATTTTTCTAAGAGATCTGCAAGAACCCATGGAACTACAAATAAAAGTCTGGTAATATAGTCTGAAACATAAATTTAATGTTGTAAAACAGCTAAGCTTTATACTTGGAAGTCACTGACTAAATCATCTTGTTTATATCAAATAGTTCTCTTTAAAACATTTATAGAACATCTATACTCTTTAGGTGCTTAAGTAAGCAAAACAATTTAGAATCATAGAATATCTCGAGTTGGAAGGGACAATGAGGAGAATGGCAGCCCAAATGCAGTTGATAAATACCTCATGTTTGAAAAGTATAGCCTGAACACTGATGAAACCTAAAGTAGTATTCTCAGACGAAAGACCTGGATGCTGTTGTGCACAGGTCTCTGAAATAGTCCATAGTAATACTTAGCATTACTGTGACACACAATATTAAATCTTTAAAAATGCAACAGATGTAGCAGAATGATCAGGTGTAGACAGTACAAGAAGAAAAATGGAATGTTCAGACACAATGAACTGTTTAGCCTAAAGCTTGTATCACGTCTAAGGAGGCATGTTTTAAATGTATATATAATAGACAGGCAGGTATCGTCCCTTGGTACCTGTGCTGTTCTCATCTCTTAAACAAAGACCAACAACATTTTTAAAGAAGGAACAACATGTGAAAGATGTTCTGCAAAACCTGCAGAATGAATGTGAAAAAATGATGTGTTTAATCACTTTTCACATTTTGCAGTGTTCACCTAATACAAAACTAAGTGTTGTCCAAATCTTGAATCATGCTTCAAAAACTGGTGCTTACTAAGGAGTGATTAGTAATTAGTTTGGCTTGTCTCCAACTATAAACAAACTCTTCAGATTTTGCCTTTCCTCGATATAAATATCAACTCAGTGGAAATGTTAACATACCCAAAACTCAGTTAAGATTATCATCTACTATCCAAACTAGAGAATTTGTTTCCTTCATCTTCGAACCGAGGGTATTAGTCATCTATTCTAGTTAACAATTAAAACAGAGCTTACAGAAATATGATTATCAAGCATGGCAACCATATTTTATCAGGGATTGTCTTAGGTTGTAGAGAATATGAACAAGCCCTAGGAATAAAATTTACACAAAAGATACTGGATAAGCAATGAGTTTACCTACTTGGTTTACCCATAATTTCTCAGAAATGTTGATAGCTCTCAGACTAGTCTTTACTTTCTGTGCCTTGCTGGAGAGCACAAATGCTTACAAATTGCTTCCTTTATGCCTATGGCATGTTTCTTGTTTATATGTTCAGCCTGTTATGTTTGTCTAAAATACTTGTGCTCCAGCATATTCTAGCATCATGACTGCAGTGCCACAGTTATGGCTGAGAAGGCAGTTAATTCTGTTTTCAGGAGCTTAACATCATCTAAACAAATTACATTGTGGGCACAGATTTCTGTGCCTGTTCTAAACCCATAATGAGCTACCTGTTGTCTCCAAATTCTGCCACAACTGGGATGGCTCAGAAATTTTTATTCCCCAGATTTTAAAAATATTTATGGAAATAACTGTCAGCATACATAATTTTTAATTATTTGGAATTAAAGCATCTTTAATTTTCCATTGCCATAAAATACAAGAAAAGCAATACTGCAGATGCGAAGCAGTGTAGATGCTGATTTCATTTAAGTATACAACATACTGCTAAAAAACGAATAAATTGATCGCTAAGAGTTTACTTCACATACTGTGGACAGTAAGCTGTTCTAAATCACCTTGGAGTTACTCTGGTTTTTTACAATTCTGTAACAGTATATGCTTTTTTATAGCACACTAATGAACATCTTCAAATACGTATCTATCAATTTCAATAAATCAGAAATTTTCAGACCACCACAAGAATTTGGGGATACTGCACACTAATGAATGTTTTCTAAAACTAAGTAGAAAAAAGTCTTGCAGCTTCAGATCATCTTGGCATGTAGCACAAAAAAAACATATCATACAAGGTCTGTTCCTTATCACAGTAATTTATGCAATCACCCCAATGCCACCACAGTAGTAACTGATCCTGAAGATATCGCAATGACAGTTGAAACATGTATCCAGGCTACATAACCGTTAACTTATGCCTATGCAGAAGCCCATGAAGTCATATTTGTATCACTGAAATAGGACCCAGGCATATGAACAGAAAAAACAAACAACAAAAAACCTATTTAAGGTTATCCATATCTAATACACACATGCACAAAGGGGAGCACAGGTATGTGTATATAGGCACATAAAATGAGAAATTCATTTGGTTTAAAATGGTAATGCCAAAGCCAAAATCAAGTTAAGAACACAAAAAATATATCCCAGAAGTTTTCACTGAATTCCTGGAATTCTTCATCATTTTTCTCAAAATGTCAACTTTGAACATAGAATTAAATCTTTAAAATGAGAGGCACGTTTACGTGTTTTCCTTGAGTCATCTTGATAGATGTTAATACCATCCCTAATATTACAAGATGTACAAATGGCACCCACTTGATAGAGATCAAAATGCTAGAAACCACTCTCCAGTTTTCCCATTGCAGTTTTTATGCAGGGATTCATAGGGACAGAGAGCAGAATGCCACAGACCTTCTGCCATCCCATGCAATTTCTCATTTTTTCCCCAGAGTTACCATAGGTACCTTCTGTCTTGAAGATAGAAAACTGGGCAAAATGGTCATGTTAGCCTAAGAGTGGAGAGTAAGTGGATAGTAATATCTCCAGCTACTAAGCAGTCACAGAGAAACCAATACTTGGAATGTCCTTAGAGCAGATGGGGATACTTACTGTTATGAAAAATGAGCTTTTAGGACTGTTGGCCAAAAAAGCATGGTATATAAAGTTAAATTAACACACACCAAAAAACTTCAATCTAGTTTCATGTAAAAAAAAATTAAAAAAAAAAAATAAATCACACAGTCACCAAATGTGAATGATCTTATGTTTGACCCCATAGGTTATTCTGGTTCCATCTGTGACAGTCCTGCACCAAAATGTGTTGCAAACCCAGTCAGATCTACTTCCCTTAAGCAAAAGCAGTAAATTTTGCTTAACTTGAACTATCAATGAGATATAAACAAAAGAGGAATTAAAGGTTGGTTGGATGCAGCCTGAAAGGAGAAAGAAAATCAGGAGTAAACATTTTCATAAAGATATGAGGCAAACTGAACTATAGGTAAGAGTGGTAACAAGGAAAAGAAATAGAAGGGAAAAAAAAAAAAAAGACACACTCTCTGTAGAGGGAGAGATAACTGGCCACTAGAGAGAAACAGCACTGGGGAAGAAGGTGGCAAAGACAAGTGAATGCAAAAAAACCCCATCTGATCATCCCAAAATGTGCCTTATCAGCCAGAGACAGAAAGCCTGTCTTTAGTAAATAAACTCAAATCACAGTAGGAGATAAATCCCCAAACACCTAACCTAGATAGGAAACCTGAATTGAACATGAACATGAAGGAGTCAAAACAGAAAGCAACAATAAAGATGAGGAAGAATTCTGCTGATCATTTCTTCTGGCATTGCTATAGCTGAAGTTTTATCAGTCTGCATAAGCCTGGCCATGTCAAA